TGTTTTGCTGTACTGTAGCACTGCCCTTAACCTTTCTCCTGTTAAGCCCAGCAAGAGGCCAAATAGCAAAAGGAGTCAAACAAATATTTACTTGGGAGAAAGTATACAGCTAATATGCTAAGTGAAATCTCCTGGCATCTGAAAGGTTCCAGGAGAGACTGCATTTCTTCCTTATACTTTTAAAAGGATGCTTCTACCATTTGGAGAAAGCAGGACAATGCATACATGGAATCCTTAATAAAAATCCTAGTTCTGAGCAGTATGTGTGTTAAGTATTTATACCAAGCTCCCTCCATCTCCCTCCCTACTTCTCAGTAACATATAAATGCATGAAAGAACATCAATTTAAGCCTCTCAAATTGAGTGTTTCTAAGGTTTTCCTTACAGATTATTAGGTCCAACTCTCATTGTTTCTACCCAGAGAAACACTACAGTACAAAACCTCCTTCAGAACAGTTGAGACAAGAGCCACTTTTTGTGAAACAATTCCGAATTACACTGATGAGATGTAACATTACTCTAAGAAGTTGGAGTTACAAGTTTAACCGCTTAGAACAAATTACTCAGGCCTCGTTGCTGCATTACTTGTTGGATATTACAGTCACATTGGAAACACAGGTGTGGAATGGAATGTCTGTATCCCCAGTTCCAAAATCCTGCAATTGCACACAGTTATATAAGAAATAGTCGGTTCAGAGGACCTATTCCCTGTAATTTTCCCCGATTACCAAAATACTTCAGGCACTCCAAAACAAAAACAAACAAGCAACCCAAGAGACTGAAACACACAAGGAACTAACAGAGTTAAAGTGAGGAAGACCATGGGCATTACCAGTGTCCTGATCCTCTGGAAGGAATTTACTCAATCAGATTTGTTTTTAAAAAGTCTAAAAAGCATGCATCACCCTGCAGGCAGAACAAAACCTACCACCCCTTCTCACACACACACAACCCCTGACAAACCAATAACGGAGGGCGCAGCGGGAAGAATACCTCCCAACAACAGATCGCAGCATTGGTTTAATTCCAGTACAGCTACTTCATGCATTCAAATCTGCACTCAAAATAGCTGAATGCCGCTAGTAGCAGTAGTGCGTGGCATTTGCTCAACACAAGTCAGAAGTGCAAATCGAGCGTTAGGCACTACAAAGAAACAGAGAACCAAACAGTGATTCTGATACAGCTGCCACATATATTCATGGCCCACCCATATCTTGAGCACTGTGTGCACAGTTCTGGTTCACACCTCTCAGAGAGGATTAAATAGATGCGGAAAAGTTTCAAAGAAAACCAGCCAGGATGATCAAAGCACTTGGGGCAAGTATCCCATATACTTGCCCTGGTCTTGCCCTCACCCCTGGACATCCACTCTCGATCACATTCAGGGCCAGCATATTGAACTAGATGGATCTTTAGTGTGACAGAGCACTCCTGCACTCACCATCTTATTTCTTTCAGTGCTTTAGAAGAGGTAGGGAAGTTGAAACATTGAAATTATTTTTTCATGCATGCCCTTTCCTGTGAAAATTTTAATAAGACTGTCTAGAGAAACTGAGTTTCTCAAGATCTATTTGAAGTAAGGTATACCCATAGTTCACCTCATGCAAAACTAAAGGCAAAGCCTTTTTAGCATTTCTATAGCTTTACTGTTTCACAACACTTTGCCCTCCCATTATAAGCTATTCCATCATATAGATGGAATAACTGAGATAGATGGACTAAGTAATTGTTTCAAACTCCCCAAAGAGAAACAGCTATTAGAAAGTGAGCAGTTTTTTGCTTCCAATTCTGTGCTCTGTCCAGTAGATTACAGTACTCTTTCAGAGATTACAAAATAAAAGGATAATGTATTCACACAATCTGCTGCATTCAAGGGAACCACTGAGTTCAATTCTGGTCAATACATCTCAAAGACAGAGCCACAAGGGGGAAAGGGCCCAAAGACAAACAAGCAGAATGAGAAACGTGGATAAAAAAAAAAAAAAAAATCACTCACAAAAGAAGAGGCTGAAAAGGTGAGGACTACTCAGCTTAATGGGAAGGTAAGAGGAAACAGAAGTCTACAGATAATGAATAATGAAGAGAATTCCTTTTATCTCTTTCACATAAAGGATATTAAATGAAAGAAAAGTATTTGAAACTGGTAACAGAGAATTTATAGAGTATATAAGTTAACCTGCGGCACACACTGCCACATGATATTGGAGGCAAAGAGCTAAACAAGGCTTCAGAAAAAACGCCTGAGACACGTAGAAGAACGATGGCAGTAATCCAAGTTCCATTACAGTGAATAAAAATACTGAATGAAAATAAACTCTTTTGCAGCAGGGCATGTGTCAGCCTCCAACTGACAACACTTAGGAAGACTCTTCTCAAAGTTGTTCTCCAAAAGTTTTTTTTGTTGTTTTGTTTTGGTGAGGGTTTTTTGCATCTTCCTTCAAAGTCTTTGAAAACTGACCACTGTCAGAAGAAACAGGACAGTGTCCATGTTTGATTCAGTGCAGCAGGTACTACGTTGTAAGGAGTATATAACACAATTATTCTTAGCATCCTACCAGGAAGGTACTGAGTTCACAACATCAACAGTTCAAAACTTCCTTCAAAAACAAATCTCTAAGTCTCCTACTGCTGAATTCTGTTGTCATGCAGAAGCGGGGACAAAGCCAACCTGAGGTTATAGATAGCCACAGCAGGGGAGGAGAGGGGGGAATTTCTGACAGCCTGGTCCTTAGAAGGAGAAATTTCAGCTTTCTACCTCCACATGGAGCCATCGCATCCATTCGCTCCCAGCCCAGCACCTCCTCCCAACTACCAGTGACCACACTCCGAGCGACCATCCCCTCTGAAAACAGCAGAGAAAGCAAACTTCTCTATCAGAGCTCCTCCCCACCTCATCCCCTTACCAATAGCTTTTTTCTAACGTATACACACACATACATACATAGATATATAAAAATATATCTAAGCCTGAGTTGGAATGTTTTAGCACAGTGGAAGGAAAAATAAATAAATAAATGTCAAGGCCTGCGTGTATTCAACAAATAAAAGCAGAATTATATAAAAGCAACAGCTAATAAAAAAGATTGTTCTGTACTGTGTTTTCCATCTTTCCAACCATTATAGGAATAAAATTATCCACAGAGAAGATCGAAAACCTTTTTCAAAACTAATACAATTAAGCTTTATTACACTGTTTCAAGTACATTTCTCTCCTCTCCCTTCCAGCCCCCACCACCTCCCACTCCAATCTAGACTAACGGTTGGAGGCATTCTTTTATTTTATTACCAGCAAAAATGCTAGTGTTCAAGGGTCAGAAACTATTTAGTGTTTCCAGAGAGGAAAGAAAACCTGTTCTTTTTTACCTACTTGCTTTTGTACACGTAAGAACTAGAAGGTAGTTTCTACGCAGCTTTGAAGTTTGAATAGGACTATGGGCAAGCCACCTTACTCCCCTGAGAAGATCCTGCACTAAAATACCCATCCCCTTGTTTATAAAGTTTTCCTGCAGCAAGTGGCATAGACCTGGAAAGGGAAACACAAAATACAATAAGACTTCAAAAAGAGGACAATGCAGCCTGGACATAAACTTCTCCCCACTCTGCTGTCCATAGAGGACAGACACACGTACAGATTTTCCCTGCAGTTTCCGCTTTCATGAAACCAGATCCAGAGAGAAGAATATAATAGAAGCACACAACGTGAGACCAAGAAATTGCAAAAATTCCCTTTGCGTATGAACATATGGACAACTGCGATAATTAGAACGATAGCTGCTAGATTGTTTGCAATTTCACTGAACAATCCCCATTATCTAGAAATAGAATTTAAAAATCTGAATGCAACACTGAGTGGTAGTTTTAATAGTTTATTTTTTAATGAACTGTATGGATTAAAGTCTTGCAAAATTGTATCATGTGAAATTGCTCACGGGCATGTTTTACCATCAATGGCTTAGAAAAAAAAATGCTGCATGGACAATCATGCAGTAGCAAGAAACAAGAAGGGGAATAGATGTGCCGATAGTTTCCCACCATTCTATAATCTGCAATTTTCCCATGTTCCATATTCACCATTATGCTACATGTTGGTAGTAAAGTTGATTGATTTCTCTGTCTTTTTACAACCCACCTTTTCCATTGTTTGCATTTCTTTTTAGTCACACAACACAACTACAAGTTGGATGTATGCAATTCCCTGTCAGGAGGTCTAATTGCTTCAAATTGGAGAAGATTATTCTCCACATTTATTAAAAAATAAAGACCACTTATAACATTATTTCATTTTGCCAGGAAGTGAAAAATGCATTAGTTATAAGGAACAGCATGGCTGCTCCTATTTTTATAGCATCAATTTTTAAAAACTCATCACAGTAAACAATTAAACAGAGAAGTAAATCCCACGTTTGGGGGAGAGATTCAAATCCCTAAATGGATTTTCAAAGGTCATTTCAGGCTTAAAAAATGCTTGACAGTGTCTCTTTAAATCACGTTCATTTCAGAGGCTTATCCAGCAAGAAGCAGGCAGTGCACTGCAGCACCACTCTTTGAACTGTTGGGCTCCCCGGAGAAAAATTAATAATACAACTTTAATTCATATTTACAGCAAGATTTGTGAGTGTGTGTTTGTTTTTTTAATTTAGGAAAGGATTTTTAACAAAAGGAATAAAAAAAACAGAGCGCTTACTTTTTTCAGTTTAACTTTCACCTAAACTCCATGGTGAAAAAGAAAATAAAGTTTGAACTACTAGAAATCTTTTATAAAAAAATCATCCAGTTAAAAACCCCTTATCTTTCAAATACAAGTTGTTCAAAAGATTTGGTTTGTACTGCTTTTTCATCACTTAACTATGTAAGGGATGGGGGGCAGATAGATGCTGGGAGCTGACAGTTACAGGTTTCAGTACAATGCTTCTTGTTCCTCTACTCTTTGGACCCACACAAATCCGTATCTGATCCCATTAGTATGCAGAGGACACAAATAAAAGACAACTTAGCCTTACCTTTCTCTCAATGCGGGCCAACTGCTCTTTATAGAAGGCCTCTTGCCGCTTCAGCTCTGCCTCCTGGCCTTGCAGCTCTACAGCCTGGGAAGAAGAACAAAAGAGCATCAGTAGAAGAAGAAATTAAAAGTAAAAAGTGTGAGTGCAAGGAAAGCTCCGAACTGGTGTATGGGATCCCTCTCAGTGGAACTACAAACCTCCAATATTGCAATTCTTGTGTTTGAAACACTTTTATTAGTATTATACTCAAACTCACAGCCTTGATTTTATTTCTCATTACATGAAAAAATATAATCATAGAAAGGTGACACCTTCCTATTGCCTTTTTCAGAACTCCACCTTATCCAAGTCTTCGTTTTTCACAAATCATGATGTTTATTACTCTACTTCAATGTTCTTCACCTTACCTTAAAAAGAAACCTCAAATCCTCCACCTTCTAAACACTTGCCCCTTGGAGTGTCAGAAAACTCCTAGAGATTTAACACATCCCTACAATCACAGGGAAAATCTGAAATACAAGGCTATGTTGTAACATTTTTATAGCAACACACTTTCTCGCTGACCATGCATTTGCTTTTACAGACATACATAGGACTACCCTGATAATTAAGTGCGCTTTCCACACCCTCTGTGCATATGCCACCAGCACCCCCAGCGTTCCTCCAGCTGGGTGCTGCAGATTTGGAGAGGAGACGGGCATCAGAGAATTTCTCTTCCGTCTTCCAAAGTGTAAGCGTGGCACTTCCAAAACAGCAAATGTGGTATACAAGCACATGCTTAAGCATAACCTGGTCATCAACTAGACACTGCTCAATTGAAAAAAAAAAGTCTGTGTGGTTACAGCAACAGCTTTTGCCTTTTAGCGATTTACAACCAGCAGCACTTCATTGGATTCCCACTCCTAAAAAGAACTAGCATTAAGAAAACATGGCATCGATGGAACTGAACCAAACTTTTTAAGTTTAAAAATTGCAAGCAACAACAGCAAGAAGAATGGCACTTGGTTTTCTTCCCCCCATCCCGCCCCAAAAATCTCTGGGGCCACATAAGTTATCACCAGGCAGAAGACCTTTCAAAACCACAATTATTAGTCTGTTTAACATAAACACAAACCCTGCTAATCTATGGCATCCCAGCAGCATTGCTCTTAACTTTTAATGATGATGGTACAATCACAGAAAATGCTGGTCCAATATGATTAAGCAGCTGGGACAGAAACATCCCTGTGGGCTCAGACCTGTCATTTTATGGCCAACAGCCATTGTTAACGAGAAAAATTGCATCTGAAAGCAAGTTGCTGTGCATTCCCTTCTTTCTGCTCCCCTGCTGATGGAAACAGTGGTATAATAGGGCTTAGAAGAGATTTTAAGCTAGGCAGTGAGGGACAGTTTATAAGTAAGCAAGAATAGTACATGAAATAGGGAGGTTGTAAGGGTGTGGTAGTGGTGTCCTCTGTTTGTTTTTAAAGGAAAAAGAAGTATTTTGGTTCCAATGTTTGCCCTCCCAGCCAACAGGGCCACGGTAAGGCACAAGAGCTATAGACTTCTATCTAAATCCTCTTGCTCTCAAAGACAGTTGATTAAACACAAAAGCTCTAGCTTTGGTTTAAGCAGAGCTGCTATATATCTTCCAGCCCGCAAGCCAGCTGAAATAGGATGGGGAGAGGGATGAGAATGAGCTGCCCCATACACGTAGCCTGACCAAAGAGATACCACAGCAACAATAGTGGCACTGATGGGCACTTTGTAAGTGCCAAAATTATTACCATTTTCTGATAAGAGAACCATAGCTATCCTTCTGACCCAGTATCCATCTTCTATACAGAAAAGGACTAAGCAGTTCTACTGAAATGAAACAGAAGGCAGGGTGGTCTGGTGGATGACCAAAGGACCTTGATTCTCCTAAAATCAGATTATTAAAACAAGTGACTTGTATTTCCTTAAGGAGAAAAAAAATAAGGAAAAGAAAGAAGAGTAACATAGTACTGACCCCTCTGCACAATTCAGATGGAAGGTGCTTTTCATGTGGAGTTTAATACAAGGAGAAAAAAAAAAGTGTCAAAAGATGAATTCTTAGAAATGCAAGAAAGTTTCCGCATAATCTAAATAAATTAATTATGTGGCAGCACTACTCTCTTGGGGTGGCAGACCATTCTGGGAGCACAAAACCAATACATGTAACAGTATTGGTGGGCAAGAGGCTTTGTTCTGTTTCTGCCAAGACATGGATCCACGTACCCACACCCCCAACTCATCTTTTCAACCTATGAGCTTGCCTGACCTCATTCACCAAGAAATTCAGCGTATTTACCCACATGACACCTCTGGAAGGGAACACAAACCAAACACCTAATCTCTCAAGTAGGGTGCTGAGATGCAGACACATTAGAGGGGTGCTGATCTGCATGATGACGACCCACGGACTCCCAAGCAGACCTGACTGGAGCTGGGATGCCCACAGTGAATAACGCCTCCACACCAATGCACCCTGTAGCAGACAGACATTCTGTTAGTGACTTCCCTAGGGTCTTTCAAAATAGATATCAAAGAATCAAAACTGGATCTCCCAACTGCAGACTACGACCTCCATGTACTCACCATTCTTCCCCCTAAGTACTTTCTCCCATACTATCTCCCATTATGTCCCACTTATGGGCAATAAGTTGTATGATGAACCAGAGGTTGCAGAGAAAACCTTTACTCACTACTCAAACATTTTCAATGCCTTGCTTGTTTTCAAGAGCTGCTGATGTTTCAGTGTGTTGAAGTATCCTGAGAAACATTCTATTTGTGACAGATCTGCTTGAAAGTTTCTGTTTCCCTCTATCCCCAGCTGTTATTACTAGAAAATTTAGTACACTTTATGATGATGTTTGAAGTATGAATGGTACAGTCAGAGCATGTGTTGTTTGAAATACTCACTGTTCCAAACTGGGTTAGGCAACAAGGGACATTTTGTATGAATACTGGATATTTATTAAGAGTTCCTCTAGTCCTGCTGCTTATTCCCTACCTGAAGTCAGAAGCCTGTGATGTCCCAGACAGAACTGGCTGCTATGGAGATGATTACAATTTCACAGAGGATTGAGATTGCCGGTGCCAAACAAAGCATCAGATACACTTTTCACAAATGTCTTTAGAACTAAAGAAGGAGGGAGAAGGGAAGACATGCGTGATAACATACTGGTTTGAAAAATCACATATCAGAAAGTTGCATTTCACATCCACACCACAGAAGCTATATCTGAGCTTGAACATATCGTGCAAGAGATGACCAAAGCCCAGAGATGACAACTAAGAAACTGTAGTGTAGAACACAGCAGAGTGTGATGTCCAAGGAGTATGAAGACAGAAACAAAAGAGAAGGAGGGGAGGAAGAGTGTAGTTAGTTGTAGCACACACAAATGCACCCAAAACTTAGAAAAGTAGCATGGGACAGCATGTATTTACAAAAGAGAATGCATGCAATAAGCAATTGCCCTCTGTACAAAAACCAGGTATAAGATATATTCAGGAAATGCTCAAAAATTCCCTGTGCTGGTGTCAGAAGTTAGAAGCATTGGAGTTCTTACAAAAGGACAGTGAAGGCATACTACTAGCATGCTACCACATCTTCTATGGGCATGGATCCATGGACTGGTTGGGTGCTCTCTCAAATTCTTCCTACGTTTTATCTTTACATTTTTTCCACAGTCCAAAGTTTTTTAGGTTATCTCAGTGCTGCTCTAAACGGTGACAAAGAGCTGGGGCAGAGTCGTGTGTGATTCCCCGCCTCCTCCTCTGCCTTTATCAAGTAACCCATTTAGAAACAAACTGTGAAAGCACATTTCTAAAGCTATGCATTCATAGTGGCTCAACTAAAGAATTCAAGCACTGGCCTGCTAGCTGACGGGCAGGCCAAAAGAAATATTTTACAAGCCTCTCAATTGAGGTAATGAAATATTATTCGTTCATTCTCGATCACACATCAGACTGTGCGACTGATCTTCTAGAGCTGGGCTCCACTCTAGCTAGCTACATCCGTTCGCAGATTAGCTTTGGCTTTGCCCACCATGAAATATCACCAGATTTTAATGATTTTTAACCACAGTCCCTTCTCATCACCTTGCTAAACATGAAAACTAGGAAGGAAATCTGCTTGAAAAAAAGGGGCTTCTTGGCAGGTTAAAATTACAGTAGGGAATGTGGCACCCAGGAAGAAAGTGCAGGGATAGTAGAGCCCACAGCCGACTGCGACCATCAGGCTGTCTCTCTCTGCAGTACTGTTGGGATTCTGGGATTTGGGGAGAGGGCATGGAAAAGACTCCACTGGAAGAAAAACTCACCCCTCTCTCTGCAAAGGGCAAGTCGAGCTAGAAGGAAAGGTCCATACGTCAACCTATAAAGAACTTCCTCAAAGGCAAGTCACAGCGCTTGGCAAGATTATTGCAAAAATATTTATCTTCTTGGCAAAACACATTCACCAGTCGCAGATGAACTAGTGAGATGACGCCTAGAGAATCAGTCAGAGGCAATCCAGGGAAAGAAGCCACACGGATAAAGGAAAGGTCCTTAAGTCTCTATCAAATGCCTTGTTTCTACATCATCCTGTCTTTGCTGAGAGGAGTTATCAGCTTCCCCCAAAGGTATCCAGTAACATCTCTGCAGCAGCACATCAGAGATGTTTTGGCTGGGTATCTCAGCTTGCCACACTTCACAACTGCAAATTCTTATACCTCATGCTTTCCCATGTCTCTTCCAGTCCTGGTAGCAGTCCAGGTGGCAGGGGAGAAAAACAAACACTATTAAAGGCTCCAAGACTAGAAGAAGGAATTGACAGCAATGCACTGAAGAACAGAACTAGCTCCAAAATTAGCTAGCTGGCATGGTCCTGACCATGCCTAGGGCAACACTGAAACAGCAAGAGGCAGCTTGCGCACATCGTGCCTGAGACTGAAGAGCAGAATTTTACAGAGGGGCTCGTACCAGACAAGTAACCATGGGGGAGCCTTGACCCAACTTCCACTTCCATCAGCAGAAATATCACCACTACTGCGGAGCTGCCTGCAATCGCTACTCCAAACACGTGAGGCCTACAAAACCAC